AGAAACACCTGTAGGAAATGAAGGACCGTGGGAGTCGCTGTTACTTCCCAGAGCTGCTTTGGGGCAGAAATCCCCTAAAAACCACACCCTCCTCCACCTGGCCCCGAGGTGTTGGGAGGGAGGAACCTGTGAGTGACACAGCTCTGTTCCTTAGCAGGAGCAGGCGGTGAACTTGGCCAGCATGGACGTGGAGGCCCCGCTGTCCATGACCCTGAACCTGTCGGACCTGGCGCACAAGGAGCACATCCTGGAGCTCCTGCCGGCCGTGGAGCCCCTGGAGAACCGCGTGCGGTACCTCATCTCCCAGGGCAACGAGGGGGGCTATTTCCGCATCCACCAGAAGGAAGGGCTCAGTTTCCTCCACCTGGGCCGCAAGAAAATCCTGCCCGGCACGTACGTGCTGGAGATCGTGAGCGTGCCCCTGTACCGCAGGCGGGAACTGCAGAAACTCGAGGCCAAGAACCACCTCGACTACTTGGCGGGGGAGCTGGGCCAGGCACTGAGGATGAAGCTGCAGCTCCAGCTCTACTAAAAAAAAAAAAAAAAAAACAACAAAACACCACCACCACCAACCCCCCATCGCCGCCGCCACCACCACCACCACCACGAGATCCACCCGACAGTGCAGTCCTTCTTCTCCTTCAACAACGGGCTCCTCCCCTCCTGCCACCGCCTGCACGGGACAAACCCGCGGGGAATGGCCCTCTGGGATCCAACCCCTGCCTGGGCCCACCAGGGACGCTCAAACCCGGGCCACGCCGCACCGAGGGCTCTGCCCAGGGGTCCCGACCCCGTCGAAGGGACTCCCTCCCCCTGCTCAGCTCTCTCCTGGCTCCTGTAAACCAAGACACTGTCTCCAGGCTGGCAGGGTGGTGCCATGGGGAGGGGGGCTCCGTGGTCCTATCCCACCCCCCCAGCCCAGGGAATGTGCAGGGAGGGGGCTGGGGGCAGCTTGGGTGTGGTGTCAGTGCATTTCCCATCAGCTCCTGTTCCTCCTTGGCTTCTGCCTTGTCATGATGGTGCTGCAGAAACCATCCCACCCCTACCCTGGCTGTGCTCTGTCTCCCTCTTGTCTTCTCCAGGTTCTCTGACCCTTTTGGGGCTCCTCTGGTGCTTTTGGGGCTCCTCTGGTGCTTTTGGGGGCTCTTGTGGTCCCTTTAGGGCTCCTCTTGTCCCTTTGGAGCTCCTCTGGTCCTTTGAGGCTTCTCCAATACTTTGGGGCTCCTCTGGTGCTTTTGAGGCTTCTCTGGTGCTTTTGGGGCTCCTCTGTCGAGCAGCAAAGGTCACCTCTGAGCAAAAGGCCAGTTTTCAGGTTGCCCACCTCACACATCCTGAAGCAGCCAGGCCATGTGGGGGCCACAGGACCCCTCAGGCCTTCCCACCATGGCAGGCTGAACAAATCTGGAGCTGGAAGGGCTTTCCCAGAGCTCCAGCAAGTCCAGGGGTTTGAAGGTGTCATGTCCTTTCTGAGGAGGAGCTCTGGGGTGGGAAAAGGCAGATAAATTGGATTGATGTGGCTGGACAAAGTCAGCTGATGGGAAAACCCCCGTGGGGAGCCCCCTTGGATGCTTCCAGAGGGGTGGGGGGCTTCGGGGGGGATGCACCTCCCACGCTGCAGGGGCACTTTTCCTGGCCACCAGCTTGAAAATCCTGGGAGAAGCAGGGTGGGGAATGGGGTGGGAGGCAGGGGACAGCCACTTCCAGAAAGAACCCTGGGCTTGGAGCCCTTCTGGGAAGGGGGCTCTGGCTGTCCCCTCCACCTTGGGCAGGCCGAGGTGACACCAGAGATGGACAGTCTGTGGTCACTCCAGAGAGCGTGGAAAACGGGAATTCCACCCCACAACCCATCCCTGTCCCCCACAGACGCTCCCCCTGGCGCTGCCTGAAGTTCTTCCCACATTCCCTAACCCCGCCTGAAGCTCTTCCCACATTCCCTAACCCCCCACCTGCATCTCTTGGCAAGTCCCCCCCCTGCCCCCACGGGACAAAGGTGCTAAAATTCACACGGAACTACCTGCTCCCAGCCCTGAGGTGCTCCCAGCTGCGGGAATCTGGGCTGGGATCACCAGCATGAGTGCACTGTCCCCACCACCCCCCAAATATTTATGGAGAGCCACCAAAGTCCCGCTCGCTGGGAGGAGTGCAGATTCCTGGAGCTTTGTTGTTGTTTTGTGGGGAGTTTTTTTTTTGGGGGGGAAAGGGAAGGGGGTGGATTTTTCTCGGTCCCCGAGGGGTGGGGGAAGTGTGTGTTTACTGTATTGGGGCTGAAGTCAAACTTGAAAACTCTTTTTGCGGCTCCAGACTCTGGATTTTACAAGGGTCCCAGAGCTTTTGTGACAGGATGGGTGGCCTGATGTTTGGGATTGCTTTTCTGGTTTGGTTTGGGGGTTTTTTTTTATTTTTTTTTTTTATTATTATTATTTTGGTTTGGTTCGTTTAATTTTTTTTTTATTATTATTTTTTCCAACAGGTGCTTTTTTTTTACCAAAAAAACCAAAAAACACCTCCCCCCCAAAAAATATTAATAATTATAAATTAGCAGAGCTGGGTTTGTGTGTGTGTGTGTGTTGAGCCTAAAAAAAGAAACTCAAAGGAAAAAAGCTCAAGGTTTCCTTCCTTCCTCTCTGGTGCAGTGTTTGGTTTGGGTTTTTTTTATTATTATTAATTTTGTACTGACATTTCTTGCTGGTTGGTTGTTTTTGGTTTGGTTTGGTTTGGTTTTTTTTTTGAGGGGGAGGGGGAAAAAGTGTTGAAACCCAAAAACCTTGTGCCCCTTGTCCCGCACAGAGAGGTGGCTCTTTGTGGAATTCCTTTTTTTTTTTTTTTTTTTTTTTTTTTTTTTTTTTTTTTTTGTATCAGAAGCAACAGCAACAATAAAATTATTTTGGGTTAGGTGGGTCTGTGTTTCTTTCTCGGCTGGGCACGGATTTGGGGTGGGAGGACCCATCCAAGCTCCAACGTGGAGCTTCTGTGGAGACACAGGTGGGATTGTCCAGCCTGGAGGAGAGAAGGATCCAGGGAGACCTTGGAGCACCTTCCAGGGCCTAAAGGGGCTCCAGGAGAGCTGGAGAGGGACTGGGAACAAGGGATGGAGGGACAGGACACAGGGAATGGCTTCAAACTGAAAGAGGGGGAATGTAGATGGGATATTGGGAAGGAATTCTTGGCTGAGAGGGTGGGGAGGGACTGGGATGAATTTCCCAGAGAAGCTGTGGCTGCCCCATCCCTGGGAGTGTCCCAGGCCAGGTTGGAGCATCCTGGGATTCTGGAAGGTGTCCCTGCCCATGGATGGGCTTTAAGGTCCTTTCCCACCCCAAACCTGTGATTCCCTGATTCCCTCTCCCAGCCGGGGCGTGGAATGAGGGTGATGCCGAAGGTCCGAGCCCAGGGGTCGTGTCGTGTGTGGGGTCGGGCTCCGGCTGGTTGAGTTCGGCTCCAAATCTCCTTCCAGGCTGCTATTCCCGGTTTTAGGAAGCTCTTCCCGCCTTCCCGTTGCGGAGACGGAGCTTTGTGCCACAAGAGGGCAGGCGGGACTGCGGCATCGGCCACTGGGAGGGATCCCGGAGCCTTACTGGGAGCACTGGGAGCAGCGCTGGGAGCGGAGCCGCTCCCCTGGCACGGGAAAACAGAGTCCAGTGGGCTCAGATGCCCCTCCAAGAGCTCCCCGGGCGCCTTGATGGGGGAGAGGTTTGTGTCGGACCCCCCAGGATTTGGGGTCTCCCCTGGGAGATGGGAGATGCCCCCAGGATTTGGGATTTCCCATGGGAGATGGGGCAGTCCCACAGGGTTTGGGTTCCCCCTGGGACATGGGGCAGCCCCCCAGGATTTGGGATTTCCCCTGGGACATGGGGCAGCCCCAAAGGTTTTGGGATCTCCCTCAGATCATGGGACAACCCCTCAGGATTTGGGATCTCCCCCCGAGGACCTGAGGGACACCAAAGAGCAGAGCTGGAGCTGGCTGGGGTTAGCACAGTGCAGCTTTATTTCCATGGAGGGGGACGAGGTTCTCTCTCTCTCCCCCCGTGGGCTCCAATCCCTTCCTACAAACCCTCCCTGCTGGCCCACGGCCACCAGCCCGCCACGCCTTTGGCCAGCTGAGCACCCCTGCTCCCCAGGCGTGGGGAGAACAGCCTTGATCCCCCCCCTCGGCATCTCCCACAGCCCCTCAGATTCCCAAAAGCAGGACGGCCAGGGAAGGGCCAGCCACCCCCGGCGACCCCCTGGGCGTGGGGAGCCCACCCGGGTCCTGCAGGATCCGGGAGTGGCCGGAGCGGGGCCACCGTGGGGAGAGGCTGCCAGGCCGGGGCTGGCTGAGAGGCATCTCCCAGGAGTTGCGTGGGATCTTTGATCCCTCGCGGGATCCCAGCGGGGCCACCCACGCAGGGCTGCACCTCGCTCGGGGCCACTTTCACCGGCTGCGAAAGCAGAGAGAGGCTGAAGGGCTGGAGGCCAAAAAACACGCGGTGGGTGGGGGGGAAAGGGGGTCTCTCCACCTCGCCCTGCCCTTTTTTTTGGGGGAGGGTCTTGGGAACTGCCACACAGAGAGGAACAAAAGCCAGCACGTGGGTCTGGTGCCTGGAAACCCCCTGACAGACACAGCTCAGCTACAGGGACACGCACACGCACACGCACACACACACACACGCACGGTCAGCACTCCCCGCGGGACACGGACGGGGAGGGGACGGCGTGGGAGGGGGCAGGAGGAGGCGGGGAAGGGGGTCCAAGCTCTGCCGTGGCACCGGGCAGAGCCCCCGCGGGCCGTGGCCGAGGGCAGGTCCCGCCATGCCCTGTCCCGTCCCCTCCTGCCCCCGTGGGCAGGGTGGGCAGCGGGCACCGATCCCCCACTCTCCTCCCCAGGAGTCCCGCGGGCTGCGAAGAGAACCGAAAAGTGCTTAGAAAAGAGAGAAACCCCTAGAAAACTGCCTCACACACACATACACACATTTCCTCCCCCGGCCAGGCCAAGAGCCCGAGCTCCCCGCCCCGGTGCCCGGAGCATCCCCGGGGCAGCAGCGCCGAGGGAGGGGGGCACGGGCGGGGTGGGGGGCACGGGGGGCGCCCCGGCCCTGCCCTCTACACCAGGGCATAGTCAAACTGGCCCCTCTCCAAGCCCTCCTTGTGGTCGGTCCAGGAGGAGGCGGGCATGCGGCTGTAGGGGTCCAGCAGGATGCGGAAGCAGCGAACCATCAGCATCACCAAGAAGACCAGGAGGAAGATGACGAAGGCGAAGACAGTTTTCTGCTCGGCATCCATGCCCGCGGAGCCGGCCGGGTGCTCCACCAGGGACGGGGAGAGCAGTTCATAATCCATCGTCGATGCATCATTCATGGCAGAGGCGGGGAGGGGTGCACGGGGGATGGGGGGCGGTGGGGGGTGGGATTTCGGCGGGGCCGGGGCAGGGGCAGCCAAACTTCAGCGTCCTGCAGTGCCCACGCACCCCGGGCACGGCTCACTCCATGGCCACAGGCTCGAGGGGCACTCCTGCCAGAGCCAAGAGCTCCTGGAGGGGAAAGAGAGGTGGTGAGGGAGCAGGAATGGGACACGGGCGAAGGAATTGGATAGAGGGAAAGGAATTGGACACAGGGAAAGGAATTGGATAGAGGGAAAGGAGTTGGCTACAGGGGAAAGAATTGGCCATGGAGAAAGAATTGGCTACAGGGAAAGGAATTGGCCATGGGGAAAGGAATTGGACACAGGGAAGGGAATTGGACACAGGGAAAGGAATTGGACACAGGGAAGGGAATTGGACACAGGGAAGGGAATTGGACACAGGGAAAGGAATTGGACACAGGGAAGGCAGAGCTGGTGAGGGAGAAGGAGTTGGACAAGGGAAAGCAGAGGAGGTGAAGGAGGAGGAAAGCAGAGCTGGCGAGGGAGATGGAACGTTGGGAAAGCAGAGGTGGTGAGGGAGGAGGAATCAGACACGAGGAAAGCTGAGATGCTGAGGGAGCAGGAATTGGCCCCAGGACACAGCAAGAGGCACAGGGAAGGGCAGGGAAGCTCACAAAGGGATTCCTGTTTTTTTTTTTAGCAACCTCGAGAAGCCACTCATGAGGGGCAGAAGGGCATGGGGGGGGGACACTGGTGCAGAACTCGCCTCTCCAGTCCCAAATCCCCAGAAATCCTCTGGAGAGGGCCCAGTCCAACCACAGGGAATTCCTCCTCCCTCAGCCAGAGGGGGCTGCTCAGGCTCTGCCCATCCTGGCCCCTGAGTTCTCCCAGGGTGGACATGGGGTCGGAATGTGTTCCCTCCCGCTGAGGGACACGTGCCCAGCTGTTCCCCCTCGGGTTTGGCAGCAGCAGGGGCTGGTTCCAGGAGGAGAAGGAGGGCACCCACCTCACTGCAGCTCCGTGGGGACACCAGCATCGCTACTGCAGCAGGAGCAGGGGGAGGGCCTGTCCGAGCAGCCACGTCACTGAGGGGAGGTCTCCAGGGTCCAGATTTCCTGGGCTGGGGGGGCAGAACAGAGGACAGAGGGTGGTTAAAGGGCTGGGGAGGTCACTGGGAGTCACAGCACGAGGCACCCCTGGAGGTCACAGCTCTGGAGGGAGTTAAAACGGGAGAACATCCACCCCAACCTTTCCAGGAGAACATTCACCCCAACCTTTCCAGGAGAACATCCACCCCAACCTTTCCAGGAGAACATCCACCCCAACCTTTCCAGACCATCCAACCCAACCCCTCCTTGCAGCTCCCTGGAGCCTGAAAAAAAAACCCCCAACCCCCCTCTGGGAGATGGCAGGACCCATCCAGATCATCCACTGCTGCTCCCCAGCACTGCCAAGGCCGCCCCTGACCTCGTGCCACATCCACTGGGCTTTCAAATCCCTCCAGGGATGGGCACTCCAGCACTGCCCTGGGCTGGACAACCCTTTTCATGAAGGAATTCTTCCTGATATCCCACTTAAACCTCCCCTGGTGCTTCCCACGGACACCTCTGGGTGGAAAAAAATCCCAGAACTGCAACAAATCGTAAAGACCAACAAAACACTTGGAGCTGGAGGTGCCCAGCTGGCTCCCATCCCAAATCCGGGGAGGAACAGGCACATCCAGGACAAAATAGAACATTTTCTGCTCCACAGCATCCCTGGTTTTATATCCCTGAACATTCAGGATAAAGGATTTCCCTCTTGCTGAGGGAAAAATCAGGAGGCACTGGAGCAGATTTCCCAGGGAAGCTGTGGCTGCCCCATCCCTGGAAGTGTCCAAGGGCAGGTTGGAGCACCCTGGGACAGTGGGAGGTGTCCCTGCCCGTGGGAATGAGATGATCTTTAAGTTTCCTCCCCACCCCACACACCTTTTGGTGCCGTGATCCGAATTTCCCCGCCATGATCCGAATTTCCCCGGGGGGGGGGAGATTTCGAGCAGAGCCCCCCACCCCTCTCTGCTCAGGCAAGTGGGCTGAAGGCAGCTGTTATTTCAGGAAGGTTTGATGGAGTTTTATTAAGATTCACGTTCCCTTAGTAACTGGGGAGGAGAACACGAGCGGAGGGAACGGCTTTGACGAGGTGGGGGGGGTGGGGGTGGTAAAAACTCTCCCGGATTCCTCGGGGCCGTGCCGAGCTTTTCCCCAACCCCAACCCCACGTTCATTTGGGGAGCAGCAGAGAGATAATGAGGTGTTTATTCCAAACTGGAACCCAGCTGGAGGGGAGGGCTCTTTCTGCCCACCCAGGACACCCCCCTGACTGGGCACCTCTTGGGTGGGCAGCGGGGAGAAGGTCTGGGCTGGCACTCAGGCATTCCTGATTAATCCCATCCCTCACATCCTGCTGGTTTGTGGTTTTTTTTTTCCCCCCCAGGAAGCAGCACCTGGAGCTGAGCTGGGGGTGGGAAAGCGCAGGAGGGAAGGCAGCTTTTGGTGTTGAAAAAAAAAATGGGGATGGGGAAGGTGGTTTTAATGTAAATTGGGGAGATTCAGGGGGAGATGTCAGGAAGGAATTCCTCTCTGGGAGGGTGGGAAGGGCTGGATGGAATTCCCAGAGAAGCTGTGGCTGCCCCAGCCCTGGAAGTGTCCGAGGCCAGGTTGGAGAAGGAAAGGTTTCAAGGAGATCTTAAACCCCTTCCAGGGCCTGAAGGGGCTCCAGGAGAGCTGGAGAGGGAACTGGGGACAAGGGATGGAGCAACAGGGCAAGGGGAATGGCTTCAAAGTGAAATTTAGATGGGATATTGGGAGGGAATTCCTCCCTGGGAGGGTGGGCAGGCCCTGGCACAGGTTGGGCAGAGAAGCTGTGGCTGCCCCATCCCTGGGAGTGTCCAAGGCCAGGTTGGAGCAACCTGGGACAGTGGGAGATGTCCCTGCCCATGGCAGGGGTGGCACTGGATGGGCTTTAATGTCCTTTCCAACCCAAACCATTATCCCACCTTTCTTATCAGCCCCTTGAAGGTCTCCCTGGAGCTTTCTCCTCTATTCCTGATTTTTAGGGCCTGAGCTCCCAGGAGATGGGAAAAGGCTTTGCTGGCAGATGCAGCTCCCTCCCCCCTCCCCTTCACCTGCAGATCACAGGGTCTGTCTGTCCAGGCAGGTCTGTCTGTCCCACGAGGGTCTGTCTGTCCCAGGTGGGGTGGAGGCCTCTCTGTGCCTCCCTGGCCACCCCTGGTGCTCCCACAGGAGCTCCCAGATTCCTTGCAGGAATTCCTTGCCTTTTTCAGTCAACGTTGCTGCTGGATCCAGCCCAGGAATCCTGCTGGGATCGAGGCTGGATCTTGGGCTGAGCTCAGGCAGGGGCTCTGCCAGGGGGGGGAGAGCTCAGCAAAGCCCTGGAGTCGGGGCTGTGTCCTCAGGGGGTTCTGCCCCACACATTGTGTGGCTCCAGGAGATGCCCCAGGGAGCTCCTGAGCCCCAGCAGGATCCCTCAGGTGCTTTGGTGGGGACAGATATCCCCCAAAACCTGCCCCCAACATCTCCCTCTTCCAGCACCTTCCACCACGGGGGCTCCAGGTCTGACCCCCCAAAGCCCCAAGTGGGGAGCTGGGCTGGTTTTCCTGTTAAACCTGTGGATAACAGGAAGGCCACCTCCTCCTCCAGCAGCTCTCCAAAGCCATGGAGACACCCTGGAGGGGCTCTCCCAGCCTGGCAGCTCCAACAATTTGGGAAGATGGGCTGTGGACACGCCTTGGATCAGCCCCCCCCCATCCTCCCTGAGTGCCAGGGATGTCCCATCCACGTTTTGGGAAGAGGAAGGGACAACCCTTCAGCACGAGGAGGGTGATCAGCCCTGTCCCAGCTAAGCAGGGATGTTTTTTTCCCCCCAAATCCCTGGGATTCCTGCTCCTCCCAGGGAATCCCAGCCAAGTGCAGGACCCTTCCCACCCCCTGCTCACCCACGGAAAACCCCCCCCCGCTCCCAAACCACCATCCAGACCCCCGGGAAAGGCCGTTCCCACCCCCCAAATCCCGTCCTCCTGCCCTTCTCCACCCACGCTGGATATTCTGGACCCTGAGCCCGACACGGGTGGGGGGTTCCCTGGTACCACCAACCCCCCACACACACACACATCCCCCTCGCAATGCCGGCTCTGCTCCCCACGGGAGCATTCCCGAGGGGCTGGGGCGTGGATAGTACCTGGAATGCCGGCTCCATCCCTTGCCATGCCGGGGGGAAGGAGCCTCTCCCCGGGAGCGCTCAGGGAAGGAGCCGCTCCCGACTCCCGCCGGAGCGGGTTCCTATGGCGATGCGGAATCGATTAGAATAAAAAAGGTGGAGCGCAGCAACTGGAGCCGGGAGAAGTTTCGTGAGCCGCTGCCTGGGAAAAGCAGACCGTGGGAGAGCTCAGCGCCGGGGGCTGAGCCTGCCCGCCCCCACCTGCGGCTCCCCGGGCCTTGTGTCCCCCCCCAAAAAAAAACCCCAAACCATCCCCCTTCTAATCCCCAGAGCTGCATCTCTGCCCCTCCGGGATCCTCCTGTGTGTGTCTGTCCAGACCCACAGACTGGGATGCTCCCGAATCCCTGGGATGCTCCCGAATCCCTGTGGCACTCGGGGCAAAAGGATTGTGCATCAGGGACCTCAAAAATCTCACTGCATCCTCCTCTCCCCCCCTCCCCAAACCCCAGGCAGCTTCGCACCCGCCAGGCTCAGCAGCGATCCGGGTTTTTGGGATGCAAAGAGATGCCCGGGATCCCAGAGAGCTCTTCCAGAGGATCCTGGAGCCAAAGCAGGAAGCCAGCATTCCCAACAGGATCCCAACAGGAGGATGAGCTCTGGCTGCCCCTGCCTCTCCCTCCCCACCCCCTGGGAGCCGCGGGAGAACTCCAGGGATGCTTTTCCCACTCGGTGGGAGCCTGGAGAGGTGGAATTCCCGGGAAAAACCGACACCGGGAGGTTGGTGACCACGCCCAGGATGGATCATCATCCCCACACACACAGGGTCTTATCCACACCCTGTTTCCAGGGAAAATTCCAAGCTAAAAAGATGCAGCAGCAACAGGGGCCGGGGGGAGGCGAGGGAGCGAAAAAATGACAATAAATGGAAAATTATAATAAAAATCCTTGGTGGTGCCACCAAACCTCCCACGCTGGGCACTGCCAGGCTCTCTCTGCTCCGCGGGATTCGTGTCCCCAGGACCTCCGTGTCACCCGGGCTCACATAAATATCTGTTGGGGTGGGTTTTTTTTTAGGATGCTTCTTCCCTTGGCTCGTGCTGCGGGGCTGGGGTTGGCACAGCCACTTCCAGAGGCAGCAGGTGGGTCCCTCCAAGTGGAGGAGGAAGGTGGGACAAGGACAAGAAATCTCCTGGTTGGGGGGTCCGAGGAAAGGGGACCAGAAGGTGTTTGGGGCTCTGTTTGGCAAATTCAACCCCCCCCCCACCCCTCCCCAAACCTCTGCCAGGGGCTGCAGGGACATTTTGGGGACAGTTTGATGGACCTAAAATCCCAGGGGACCCCCCCCCCAGGGACCTCCAGGGTGACCCCCACACACCGTGTGCCCACCCAGACAATCCTTCCTGACTCAGCAGCTCGGCAGGGAGGGAAGAGGAGAAGTTAATTTATTCCTGCGGGTGACTTTGAAGTAATTAATTGATCCTGTCAGAGGCAAAGGGATAATTCCAGGGCCGTGTAATCCCAGCAGGAAGATACTTCTTGTCCCCTGACAAGGCAGCTTTGATAGAGCCGTTTCACTGGCGCTGCCCGGAGTCGGGAAGGGGACATTCCAGTTAATGATTCCCGCTAATTAGAGCGGAGCAGACGCGCTCCCCTCCCCGCCCCGGGGTGTTCCAGCCCCGTTCCCTGTGGGAACACGCCCTGGGAGAGCTGGTGGGGACAAAACTGGGCCGGAATGAGAAGGTTCCTGAAGGTGATGCCTTTAGGAGGGAACCAAACACCTCTCAAGAGCCGTGGAAGGGTTTGGGTTGGAAGTGATCAAAAAGAGATCGTGGAATTCCAACCCTGCCCTGGGAGGGTGTGGGGAGGGGATGGGATGGATTTCCCAGAGAAACTGTGGCTGCCCCAGCCCCTGGAAAGAACCTGAAAAAGAAACCAAGTGATGATTTCCCTCTCCCTTGGCCCACCTTTGTCCAGGGCAAGAAAACATGAAGACTGGAACAGCAACAAACCCCTCCCAAACCTCTGCTTCTCCAGGAGAGGGGGTTGATCCCGACCTTTAGCCCACCGGAGGAAATCCCAGAGGGCTTTCACGGCCCAAACAGGGCCTGGAGGCGAAGGCAAAGCAGGAAAAAAGGGAAAGGAAGCGGAGCTGTTGAACGGCTGCCCGGGCAGGGGAAGGAACAGCCAGTGATGCTGTCGTTAATTGCTGGATCATAATGCTGGGACAGGAGGGGGCCTCATTAAAGTGCCTGAGACGAGCCTGTGGCTTGGCAAAGCCCGGCTTTCCATCGGGCCTGACCTTGCAACATCAATCACATTCCTCAGAATGTGGATTTAGGGATTTATTCCAGCGGCTGCCAAGGGGCCTGGCTGAGCCCCGGGGAGAGCAGAGGAGATGCTGGGGCACCTTCTGCGAGGGCTGCTGAGGCCAAGGGGTGTTTCTGCCCGAGCTGGAGGTGCTGGAAAAGCCAGAAAACTTGGCTTGAAGCTCAGCCTTTGGGGACAGTTCCAGGTCTGTGTCCCAGGCTGGGAGAACTGGGGGGGGATTCAGCTGGAGGAGAAGAAAAGGTTTCAAGGAGACCTCAAGAGTCCCTGGAGGGGCTCCAGGAGAGCTGGAGAGGGACCTGGGACAAGGGATGGAGGGACAGGACACAGGGAGTGACTTCAAACTGAAATTTAGGTGGGATATTGGGAAGGAATTCCTCCCTGGGAGGGTGGGGAGGGACTGGGATGGATTTCCCAGAGGATGCTCCATCCCTGGGAGTGTCCAAGGCCAGGTTGGAGCAACCTGGGATAGTGGGAAGTGTCCCTGCCCGTGGCAGGGGGTAGAACTGGATGGGCTTTAACGTCCTTTACAACCAGCAGCTTTTTTGGGGGCTCAATTTAAGGAATGTTCCCCTCACAGCACTGGCTCTGAGCCCCGGGGAGAGGGAGATTGTGGTTTCATTCAGCTTTGTGCCACCTCAGCAGAGCTGCCAGCTCAGGAGTCACTGATCCCAAGGGGGCAGGGATCACAACCTGGGATGGTGTCACCTCCAGCGAGGCGACAGATGAGCATGGAAACACTCCATAAAGGGACAACATATGGATCTTGCAGCGTTCTGGGGGGCAGAAGCGGCTGATTCCACCCTTGGCTGGTTGAGAACAGCGGGTGAATCCCCACCAGGAGCCGTCCTGCCTTCAACCTCCCGTCCCCGGGACTGTGGGGAAATCACTTCAGCAATTCCTTGACTGGCAAAAAAAAAAAAAAAAAAAGCAAAAAGGGCTCCCAGAGAACATCTGCTCCGGGAAACGAGTGCCCTTCGTCATCACCTCATTAGCGAGTTCCCCCAGGAGAAGGAGCGACCTTTGCAGATGCTCAGCTTTTGTTTGTCGGGCCCTGAACATTTTGGGCAGGGGGGGAGGTCACCCAGCCCCGGGCTGTGGGAATGCCATGCTTCCCTAATCCAGCCAGGGGTCTGGTGGGAATCTTTCCCACCTATTTTGAGAGGTGTCTCATCTCTTGGCCTTTGGGTTTGTGGCTGGATAATTAACGGGGTTATAAATATAAGGAGTGACTTTTTACCCAGGCAGGTATTGATGGGACACAGGGGGAATGGTTCTGAACTAAAGCAGGGGAGATTTAGGTGGGATATTGGGAAGGAATTCCCGGCTGGGAGGGTGGGGAGGGACTGGGATGGAATTCCCAGCAAAGCTGCCCCATCCCTGGGAGTGTCCAAGGCCAGGTTGGAGAAGAGAAGGTTCCAAGGAGACCTCAAACCTCTTCCAGGGCCTAAAAGGGCTCCAGGAGAGCTGGAGAGGGATTTGGGACAAGGGATGGAGGGACAGGGCTCAGTGAGGAGCCACCACCGACCGGGACAGGGTCAATCCCACCCTCCTGCCACCCCCCCCTCCACCCCCCCGGGTGCTCTCCCAGTCCAGGTTGCCGTGGCACCGGGATGTGCCTTCCCTGCACTGCCCTTATCCAGCGGTTTTTATCCCATCCCACCGCTCTTCCCTGCCTGGCAGCTCCCAGGGAAGCAATTCCAGGGCTGGGATCCCCCCCCCAGCTCTCTGAGGTGCCTCCCTGAGCGGGAGCAGAGCTGGGCGTGGGATCTCTGCCACCTCCCTCGCCACACTGAGTGGGTTGATTTCCCCCCCCCCAAATCCTCCCTCCCCACCTCAAATCACTGATTCATTTTTCTC